GTATGTATTAAAACAAGCTGTACAATCATGTCATATAAAAGTAGATAGCAATGTAAAACAGTACACTACCTCGTGTGAGCGCCGAAATATATCTTTGAGAATCGTATATGCCTTATCTTACCCAACCGCGGTTGGCAACATGATGCAGTCGTCAATTGCGCTCTCACAAACGTTGCTCATCGTCATTAATCCTGGAGGCAACGTATGTTTGAAATTGCCGAGTGAACCTCCAGTAAATTGTGGGTCGCCCATCGAAAGATACAAGCTCTACTTTAGGGAGGTCTAGATTCGCAGTAGATTGGCATGACGTGGACGTTGTTTTCTTATGTTCTCCCTCTAGCTCACCGAATCTTGCTGTCGTGCAAACAAAAGAACCACTCGCCTCCCTAGCGTCCCATACTGGATGGTTTCCAACAAACCACATCACTCGATCTTTTCCGTCCTCAATAGCTATAGAACGGACACTACTTATTCTCCATTTTCTCTGCCACCCTTGCAGTCTCCAATTCTTACCGTACTGCAAGTAGTTCACTTCTACGATTTTCTCGGAGTTCTTTCATCTGCTGCACTGTTTGTTCTCACAAATGACGCTCCTTTATATCAATTAGCGAAACGCTACGCTTTAAGCTATCGCTTAGCCGACTAGATCCGCTAACCATAGAGACATGGACAGAAAGACTGTGCAAACGGACTTGCCGAGATTTTCCAGTGTTGTGGCCGGATGCTCGTTTATCGTCATCAACGTAAATGTTTGTCATGTTCATTCTCCGAGTGACGGGCATTTCAGAGTATTGTAACGACCAAAACGCGATTGTCCTGCTCCGAGCGGAATAAAAAAACCTCGTCTGCACTCGTTCAATCAAATGGCATTTTCCTCATTCGGGAAAGCAATAACCAAATCTCAGAGCAACGCGTAGCCCAAATTATCGAGAACCAAGTGGATCCAACAATAATCTAAGGTACGACTTTCGCATTAATCAAAAAATACATAAGGCAGTCATACATCTGATAGTGAGCCTGATTCGATAACCATCCAAAATGTTACAAATATTCACAAAACATATCTGCGGTTGTAGAAACCACAGAGTGAAGAAAATCCCTCTCCTCGGTCCGATGCGTGACTACTGTTGTTCCCCCTCCTAATTACCCCTTTTCGACCTTGTGTAACACGTTCTTTTTAGTCACTCTTGATTTGACCTTGACCACCGCGTGATCCCTCGTGTTAGTCATTGTTTATGGTTGCTTGATGTCGGATTCTCGTGCCCAGTGACCTTGTGTGTCTACCTATCGCTACCACCCGTGTCATTGTCCTGTGCACTAACGTGGCCTTGGTGTGTCATTGCCTCGATCCATAACCGCCCCAGTCCCTCGCTATATGTCCCGTCATTGGCCCTGTGGCTTCACTCGTTGTCTTGCTCTTAGCGAGTGCATACCTGACTTTGATCACTAGCTGTTCACGTTTGGTGAACAGAATTTCTTCCCGTGGCAAATAGACCATTGTCGATCTGTTTGAATATATCTTGGTTGTTCACGTTAAGTGAACGGAATCCCTTGCTTGACTTAACAGATATTTATGTTCCCTCTTTGTATATTTATTTCCTTGTCTTTATATCAGGTCTCTACTTATTTGTTTGAACTCACCTTTTTGGCTGCATAGCGACTGAGTCACATTGTTGAGATCCGTTGTTCTTTGACTCGCCTAATGAACTAAACAGTACCGTACGCATTGCGGATCAATATCGTTCTGACTTCGGGGTTCGCATTTCGCTACGCGTTGCTCAACGGTCTCATTGACGCTATACAGAACGATCGTAGAATAGTCGATTACACTCGGGCTACGGTCGAGCCAGAACAAGTGGTTTTGGAATTTACAGTACTCAACAAGACTCCAGGCTTCTGAGGAGTGTTCAACTGGAAATCCACAATGCCAATCACCCGGAGTGGAAAATCGAATTCGGAAATTGATACTGCCGGGAATGTCCTCGCAACTAATTATCCCCGGCAAGTCCCTTTTTTTGGTTTTTCTGTTAGTGGCTCTCGTGTTTTTGGGGTTGGTCGGCACAGTAGTCGTCTAAGTGATGAACCTCAATTGTTGGTGTTGAAAGAAAGACATTTTAAAGAGCGAGAGGAACAAGAGCTAAGACACCTGCAAGAAAAGCAACGAGAAGAACTTTTAGATCAGCAACAAGGCTTAGGCTCATGTAGAATAACCGATCGCGCCGACTCTGCGAACTCTTTGCATTCTTCTACTGATTATTTACGCCAGCTTAAGACACCTCGTTGCGGGCACGATGACTTGTTGAAAGGAGACCCGTAAGATGATCCTGAGGTTACTCGCAGGTTTGCACCAGCCACGGAACATCGGAAAGAAAGCACGTTACAGCATTTGGAGACAACGGTTTCACTTGATCACATGCTGCCAAAAGTGGAGCTGTTTTCGTTCGACGGGCGGCCGGAATGTATATTGGAAATTCATTCGGCAGTTTTAGATTTACGTAGCTTTCAAAACCTCAGACGATGGACAAAAACTGTTGTATCTATTGCATTATTGCAGAGGTAAAGCACGGGAAGCAATAGAAGAATGCGTCATGCTGCCCTCTTCGTCCGGCTATCGCAGGGCCCAGGCCATATTGAAAGATCTCTTTGGTCAGCCACACGAATTTGCACGCGCGCTTTTAGACAATCTTGTGGAAGACAGTATGGGGATCCGGAGCGGCCCAGAGTCCCTGTCTAGGTTGGCAGTTCGAATTGAAAACTGTATAATCACGCTAAAACAAATGGGGTACATGTTCGACCTCAATTCCTTGGTGAGGTTGGAAAAAATTGTAAAAACATTGGCATACGCCTTACAGCGTTCTTGGGCGGACCCAGTCGATAGAATAACTTTGAATGGACGCGAACCAACCTTTGAGGAATTGACAGATTTCGTTTCGTCAAGGGCGAAGATTGCATGTAGCCGCTTCGGGCAGTTGGCCCAGCAAGGCCATGAGACTAACAGGCTCAACAGAGTTATCAGTCATGAGCTTAAGCGTAATCCAGGACATAGATTGGTGGCCAATATGCCTTCAACCCCCATCAGTATACCCACTACAAGATGCGTCATGTGTGTGGGTGAGCATCCTCTCTCACCATGTCAGAAATTCGTTAGCCTGCCAGTATCCGAGCGATGGTCTGAAGCAAAGAGGATGGGAGTATGCTTTGTGTGTCTACGGGAAAGCCATCGAGCTAGGGAGTGTAAATCAATAACCATATGTGCCACTCCAGGCTGTAATGGTCATCATCATAGCCTACTACACAAGATACGGTGGACAGAAGGTCATCAGGGACCTGATGCAAAAGAAATTCACTCTGCCGCTACGAGCTTACGATCAAATGAGGTGCGCCTAGGTATATTGCCAGTGAGACTGCAGGTTGGCGAGAAAGAAACCGTGAGTTATGCATTCTTGGACACCGGGTCTGACACAACGCTTATCAAGGCAGATATAGCACAGTGGTTGGGTCTGATTCTGCAACGAAGTTCGGTGATTGTGAAAACCATAGCAGGCTCCAGAAGGGCTCCCATAACTGAAACGGATTTTGAAGTACTCTCCTTAGATCGCTCGGAATCTATCCACATTGATCATGCGGTAGTAATAGACGAGCTACCCGTAAGGAAGTCCACCGTAACTGTTCGGCAAAGGACCGAAGGTTGGCCTCATTTAGCTGATATTACTATCGAGGAAGTAGAAGATGTCCTGCTTCTGATTGGCTGCGATGTACCCGAAGCTCACTGGACGGTGGAACAGAGACTAGGTGGTCGGAAAAGTCCCTATGCTGTTCGTACTTCACTTTGCTGGGTTATATTCGGNGCTCCATCAGTGGAAGATGCGGGAGCCATCCGGATAATAGAAAACGGAACGCAGTTCATCGAGGGTCATTTCGTAGTGCCTTTTCAGTGGAAAAGAGGAGCCAATACCGGCTCCCGAAATTATGAATCAGCATTGGTCCGTTTGAATCAACTTGAGGGCTGTTTGGCACGTGACGAAACCCTACGAAACAGATACGCCAAGGCAATGAAACTAATGATCGATAAGGAGCATGCGTCCCCGGTTTCCGCCTACCAGCTTCACGAGGAATATCAGCCGAAGTGGTATCTACCGCACCACGCCGTGATCAACTCAAAGAAACCAAATAAGATCCGTATAGTATTAGACTGTTCCGCCAAGCACATGGGCAGGTCATTGAACAGCATGGTGCTACAAGGACCTGACACCACGACGAACCTTGTCTCAATACTCCTCCGGTTTCGCAAGGAGCGTATCGCGTTGATGGCCGATATTGAGGAAATGTTTATGCAGGTCAAGGTGCCGGAGGAAGACAGAGGTGCATTACGTTTCCTCTGGTGGACAGGAGGAGATGTGAACGGACAAATTACACAGTTCCAAATGTTGTCACATCCGTTCGGTGCTACGTCATCCCTCTTCTGTTCTAACTTCGCGCTGCGCAAAACCGCCTCAACCTTTGTGGTTTTCTACGATCGGTCAGTCTCTAAGGCAATAGAAAACAAATTTTACGTCGACAATTGTCTTATATCGTTTACGTCCAACGAAGAAGCATCTCTTTTTGCGAGAGAGATAAGAGAGATGTTACTTCGAGGAGGGTTTAATTTGAGAAAGTGGATATCGAACTCACCGGTGGTGATGAACTCCCTCCCAGATTCCGGGGTAGCAGACAGCACAGTACAGGTTGTTAATCCAAAAAGGGCGTTGGGTCTAAAGTGGAATACGATTAAAGATGTGTTCGTTTTGTGCTTCAACGCAACTTCTACTATCAAAACCCGGAGAGGCATATTATCAACCGTGGCCTCCATGTTCCACCCCTTGGGATTAATCGCACCACTATGCCTACCTGCTAAACAATTGTTGCAACGCCTGTGTAAAACCCAGTTAGGTTGGGATCAGCCGCTGTCTTCCGAGTATTCTCGCTTGTGGGATGAGTGGATAGCGTTCACTTGTCGTCTCGGGAAAATCAGCATTCCAAGGGCTATACGCAAAGAGGATCCGCAGCAGACAGGGAAAACCGAACTGCATATATTTTGCGACGCTTCGGAATCCGGCTATGGTGCAGTTGCTTATGTCCGGCGCACCCCCAAGGGAAGGTCCCCGTATTGTGTATTGCTCTACGTTAAATCGAGGGTGGCACCCATTAAACCCGTGACTACCTCGAATGGTGCTAGCAGCTGCTGTGTTGGGTGCGCGCATCTGTAGTATGCTGAGGAGAAGTCTGTCAAATTTTTTCGATGAGGTTCGATTCTGGACAGACTCTATGATTGTACTCTACTACATAAAGAACACGAATACTCGATTCAGTATGTTCGTGGCTAACCGAATCGGATTTATCCATCAACTTTCTTCTCCCAGTCAGTGGGCGCATGTAAAGTCGGAGGAGAACCTCGCAGACTGGACGTCGAGAGGTATATACAAAAAGAAAGACCTGGAAGAGTGCTTGAAGGGACCTACGTTCCTACAGGGTCAACTGATCACTTCCCCGGAGGAGCTACCGTGGGACGCTATCCCAGAGGGCATCGAAATAAAACGGACTGCAAACATAAACACGACCATGACCACTCGCCCGCTCTTCTATCACTATTCAGACTGGTGGCGACTCACCAAGGCGGTGGTCTGGCTGACAGGGTTCGTCTTATATCTCCGGGTTCGAAAATTGCACCATTCGGGTGAGTGCCTACAACACGGGAGAATAACCATGCGAAAGATAGCTGAGGCCGAAATTAATATCTTCAAGATTGTGCAGAGTGAGGTTTACCTGGGAGATAAATCGCTCAAAACAAATGCGGAAGCCGCGCATAGGTTTGGACCTGTCCAGTTGTGCTGAACGGTTTACTCTGTGTGGGTAAACGTCTTGAATATTCCAATTACCCAATTGCATTCAAACATCCGATCACCCTCCCAAATCGTCATCCCGTGTCGGAACGACATATGACATACGACACTACCATAGCATCGAAGGGCATTCAGGTACTTCACACGTTCTGGTATCCCTTAGAAGAAACCATTGGATAGTGAAGTGCAACTCGGCTGTAAGACGTGTAATCGGAAAATGTGTAGTATGTCGACGTCTATCGGCTACAATGGGACGACAAATGATGGCCCCCCTACCGCTCTGCAGGGTCCAAACGGGGTGGTGCAGTTTTTCTCACGTGGGGATCGACTACTTTGGACCATTATGCGTAAGCAGAGGTAGGGGTACGGACAAAAGATATGGCTGTTTGTTCAATTATCTACAGACACGTACAGTTCACCTGGAGATAGCAGCTACTTTAGATACAGACTCATTCATAATGGTCCCAATGAGATTTGTGGGGTGCCGATGAACACCGGTAGAAATATATAGTGACAATGTAACTAACTTCGTGAATGCGGTGTCCGAGAAAAGGGGACGAATGAAACAATGGGAAGATAGAAAGATAAATGACCGTTTGTTGCGCCATGGGATTCAATGGCATTTCAACCCTCCGTCCTGTAGTCATTGAGGTGGCGTGTAGGAAAGAATTATAGGCTCCGTCCGACGATTACTTATGGCTGTGACTACTGAACAAAGACTGACGGACGAAACAT